ACGTGTTCACATGCGCTCATAGGGAAAATCACCTCTACGAATCAAGAACTAAAACAAGAGACAAGAAAAAAAACAGAATAGAAATCGTTCAAAAGGTGCAATATATAAAAAGCGAATAAGGAACAAATAAGTAGCGAATAAGTAACAGGGTATCAGTCGAGCGCAGAAACTGGTACATATGCGCTAACAGAGTTAATTTAACTCCACTAAACTAGCACTTATAATAATAATAATAATAGTATTTTGATAATAATAATATCTTTATTTAAAGATAATGACTCATTTGGAATAAACCAATTTTCAGTAAGGCTCTCTACATACAATATTAACTACATGAATAAAACACAATCAATCTATTTATACACAAATATAAACAATATATATATATATATGTATGTAAGACTCAGATCGACGTCCGGTCTCTAATCGACGTCCGTTCCTCAAATCGACGTCCAAAGCTGACGTCACAATAAAATAACATTCTAAATCGACGGCCAATTTTATGTTCCTCTAATTGACGTCTTTTTGGTGGTTCTCAAATCGACGTCCATTTTTTGCTTCTCCAATCGACGTCCAGTGAAATCTCATCTTTATTAAAGGGTGGGTTGAAACTAAAACTCAAAAAGTTGTTGAAAAACATAAGACTAAATTATAATACTTTTCAACAATATGCCGTACGTTTTTATTCTTTCTATTGTTTGAGTCTGTATAGCATTGTAGAGGGCTATAGATGTACTACCCTCTTGATGTCTTTCGATTATTTTTGTCTTTGTGTTGTTGTCTCATTGTCGTACAATGTATACCCACATTTATTTGTTTATATGAGCAAGATAAGGAAATGACAACGTAGGTCGAGAATATGAACGTCTTTCACCAAAATATTATTATGCATGTACATGTAAAAGTAATAATGATGTCGGTGATCGTCTTATTGCCATTTTCTGATGTTAAATATGTCCTTTTCTTTTGATACCAATAAAAGAAAACAGTTATAGTTTCGGTAAGTAACTAGTGTTTGATGAAGGTAAATCCAGAAAAGCACTTCGGACGCATTAAATTTATAACGTGTTGTTTTTATTTTTTTCACAAAAAGACAAAAAGATACAGATTATATAAACAAAGATCAATTTGAAAAAAATGATTCAATGAAATTTATAGACATCGCGATGAGAGGAGACTCTCATCGATCGGACGTCGTTTTTGTGATTCATAACGTCACATTGGACGTTGATTAGAGGGTTAAAATATTGGACACTGATTTGAGAACGTGACGTCAAATTTGGACGTCGATTTGAGGAACGGACGTCGATTAGAGACCGGACGTCGATCTGAGTCTAACATTTATACACATATGACAAAAATAATACACCTATAGTATAAATTGTGGTTAAACTTCATAAATTTCACACTTTGTTAAAAATATAATGACTTGTAAAAGTATTTGAATGCAGATACAGTTACTGATTTTATAATTTCACTTGATAGTGAATTCCTCACTTTGGGACAACTAAAAGAAAAAGTTGATTTGTATAATTCTGTATTTGATTTAGGGACAATAAATTTATCCGATGATGAAAGTCGAGTATTGTACTATTGTTTACTATTTGTAGGCACAATAAGATTTGATAAATATTTTGGTGCCAGTTCATGTTTTGATTTATACATTAACAATGACTTATGGTAAAGTATTCTCTTAGTAACGGGTATAATTCCAGATTCCTTAAATAGTTCAATGGATGGTTTAGGAATATCGTGTTCGTTTAAAATAATTCTAGATGCCCTTTTTGTAATTTTAGTAAACTGTCAATTAAAAACTTGTTACAGTTTCCCCATACTGAAAAACAGTAATCCAAGTGTCTAAAATATAAGCATTGTAAAATAGAATTCGTGCATTATGATTTAAGTATTTCTTGATCTTTTTAATAACGCTAATAAAGAATTAACGTTCTTGATAATATGATTAATATGATCATACCAAGATAGAGTTGCGTCAACAAAAATACCAAGGACTTGTTCACAGTGACTTGCATTAATATGTTGGCTATTAATGGATATATTTAATATGCCATTGCATATGACCGACAGTTTTTGTTTTGAACCTATACACATTGTCTTTGTTTTTAATACATTTACTAAAATTTTGTTTTCATCACACCAATGACAAATATTTTCTAATACTGCATTGAGTGCCTGACTTATGTACCTTTTGTCTTTTCCAATCACAGAAATAGTGCTATCGATCACCAGCAAACATATTTGTGTTATGATTAGGATTACATAAAGGCAAATCGTTAATAAACGTTAAGAATAATATTGGACCTAAAACTGACCCTTGAGGTACACCTGCTTTTAATGTAGTTACATATGAAAAAGTATTTGAAATGGATACGACCAAATACGAAGTAAACCAATGAAGTGAATTATAAGAACATTTATATTTCTGTATTTTTTGAAGGAGCAATTTATGATTTAGAAAATCAAAAGCTTTACACAGATAAAAAAAAACTAACACCAGTGACAAACAAAAAAGAAAAGAAAAGAAAGCATTAAAAAGGTGCAACGTATAAAAAGTGAATAAGGAACGAATACTTTACAGTGTATCATTCGAGCGCGAAAACGGGTACATACGCGCTAAAAGGGTAATTTCACCTCTACGAACCATGAACTAACACCAGAGACAAGAAAATAAAAGAAAAGAAATCATTAAGAAGGTGCAACGTATAAAAATCGAATAAGGAACGAATAAGTCACAGGGTATCAATCGAACGCAAAAACGGGTACATACGCGCTAATAGAGTAATTTAATGATAATAATAATAATAATATCTTTATTTAGAGAGAGTAACTCATTTGGATAACACCAATTTTCAATAAGGCTCTCTTAATACAATAATAATTACATTAAAAAATAAACAATACAAATTCAAAAATAATGATCAATAAATAATTTCACCTCTAAGAACTAAGAATTAACACCAGAGAAAACAAAATAAAAGAGAATAAAGCATTAAAAAGGTTCAACGTATGAAAATCGAATAAGAAACAAATAAGTAGCCAATAAGTAACAGGGTATCAATCGAGCGCAAAAATCTATAAACTAAGAACTATCATCAGATACAATAAAAGAAAGGAAAGGAAACATTTAAAAGGTGCTACGTATAAAAATTGAATAAGGAACAAATAAGGAGCGAATAAGTAACAGGGTATCAGTCGAACGCAGAAACAGGTACATACGCGCTAAAAGTGCAATTTCACCACTACAAACCAAAAACTAACACTAGACACTAGAAATGAAAAGATAACAAAGCATTAAAAAGGTGCAACGTATACAAATCGAATAAGGATCAAATAAGGAGCGAATTAGTAACAGGGTATCAGTCGAGCGCAAAAACGGATAAGGCGCTATTAGGGTAATTTCACCTCGAATAAGGAACGAATATGTAAGGAATAAGGAATAAGTACATATGCGCAAAAAAGATATTTTTACTTCTACGAACCAAAAATTAACACCACGGGTAACGCGCTAATAGGATAATTTCACCTCTACCAACCATGAGAACTATCACCAGAGACAAGAAAAGAGAAGAAAAGAAAACATTTAAAAGGTGCAACGTACAAAAATCGAATAAGTAACAAATAAGTAACAGGGTATCAGTAGAGCACAAAAATGGGTGCATACGCGCTAATAAGGTAATTTTACTTCTGAGAACTAAGAAGTAACACCAGAAAAAATAAAATAAAAGAGAATAAAGCATTAAAAAGGTTCAACGTTTGAAATCGAATAAGGAACAAATAAGTAGCCAATAAGTAACAGGGTATCAGTCGAGCGCAAAAACGGAAAACGAGTTAATAGGGTAATTTCACCTCTTCAAACCAAGAACTTTCACCAGAGACAAGCAAAAAAGAAAAGAAAAGAAAGCATTAAAAAGGTGCAACGTATAAAAAGTGAATAAGGAACGAATATGTAGAGAATAAGTAATAGGTATCAGTCGAGCGCAAAAACGGGTACATACGCGCTGGAAGGGTATTTTCACATATCAAAACTAAGAACTAACACCTGAGACAATCTGCCATCTTGTGCGGTATTCGAACTCAAAACCTAAGTGTTGAAAGGCTAGTGATACAGTAGTTCGACTACTTAGACCACTCTGCCCCGGTATGGATGAAAGAAGATAGGGGATGAATTTCAACTCGGTGCATTTCATTTGCGCACCGGTTTTTATTACCTTTTCGTGCATTATTCTACAGCTTCAACTAGACTGTAACCCGCAACAAAGTGGGAAGCCGCTCATATATACACCTCCAGACTCAAGAACTGTAAACAGGGCTAAGGTACCGACTATTCATCTATTATTTTTTTGGGGGGAGGGGGGAGGGCATATAATTGATTTGACCCGGCCGGGGTTCGAGCCCACGACCTCCCGCACTAATTTTTTTTAAATGTTTGATTCCAAATTTCTTGAAAAAGACTTTATTTCAATCAAAACTTTTTTCAAGAAATTTGGAATCAAACATTTAAAAAAATGAGTGCGGGAGGTCGTGTCTGTTTGACAGTCCGTATTTTCCTATCCGTACCGCCCATAGGTCCTTAAATTATTGTAGTGTTTATCAACTAAGGCGGGACTTGTTTCTAGCAAACGGCTTACGCCGTTCGCCGTCGGCAAACCGGCATGACACTTGTTTGTAAAACATTTGCGCACTGCGCATGCCCGGCTTACACCGCTCGAGCCGGTTTGATTTGACCGGCTAAGCGGCGAAAAACATGGCTGACTGTTGTAAGAACAAAACTTGTGCATTTAGAACTTTGTTGTTAATCATATTTCTGTCACAATTACATTAGTTATGAATACATTGAATGATATAATGAGTTGACACCTGTTATTTAACACGTATTTTATCACACTAAACAATTAAAAACCCCCAAACATTGCATAATTGTTTTTTTTGCTGATCAAAGGAATTGGATTTTGGTATGAGTGCTAAATTGCCATAAATTTAATCACCCATTTCATGGTCTGTCTATCCATATCCATCATCATTTCCTATGTTGACATATAAATTGAACAACAAAGAACATAGAATTGACCTCACACCAGATCCAGAACCCACACCCGCAATCTAACTATCAACATCCTCACAATGTCAGGGGTCCTGTGTCCACTCGTGTCCGTGGGACATAAAGTCTTTCTTTGTTTATGAAGCGTAAAAAGAACCAAAGTCGTTGATACAAAATAATTTATTCAGATGTAAGTGACATTCCTTTTATAATTATCCTATCCATCCTCCTTGCTTTAATAAAAACCTGATCAATAGTGGTTATGAATTATGATTTCTTTTGTAGATGGATGTTGAACATGTTGATAGCAAGAAATTAAGGTGGACCTGCTATATTTGTCATAATCCTGCCCCAAATCATTCCTTGGATTCACTGGATGCCCAGGAAAAAGCGAAGAAATCTTTAGTCTTTGTTGACGGAGATTATTGGTACATTGTATTTTTTTAAAATTATATTTACCTGATGTTCATATCAAATTAACCCTTTGACTCGTCTTGTAAATGTTAATCATTTATTTACCAAAACATTAACATGTTTACAAGTTCCTACAGAAACAAAATACACATAAACTTATTGAAGTCCTGTGTTGAGCCTCACAGGCAACAACAGGATGTTGACACAAAAAATGAAAGTTTGTTTGGGCCAAACATCAGTATTTCTCTTTCCAGCTAATACACACATGTAAGTTTCAATGGTTTTATACATATATAATGCATGCTGGTGAATATTATAGCCATGCTTTACAAGTAAACAATCATTATACTTTTAAATGCAACCTAAAATCTTATAAAAATACATTGTACTAAATCAGTACATGTACATTTTGTATAGTAGTTTCATATGAAATATGCTCCTACATCATGTACATAGAAAATAGGGATATGAAGTAAATGTACATGGGACAATATCACACCCAATACATTTAAGAAATCAAATTATCAAGGAACAAGACTCTAAGTCCTGTTTTGTAGCTTTCAGCGAACAAAGTTCAAAAAGGAGGTGGGGTACATAGGAATGACACTTTCTATTTGTCCCTCTGTCTGTGAAGATTCATGTCCTGTTTATAACGTTGGCAGCGCTGTTGTTTAGTATTAGACTGCTTGCTGTATATAGGTTTGGTTCATGATCTTGAAAGTCAAGTTTAAAAGCTTAATGAAACTTATGTCCCCAATGTACAGGGTTTAACGGGCTGCCGGTTGGGTACTAGTATTAGTCCTGTTATATTTAGGGCCACTTGCTTCATTTTCAGAAAATTATTTTTATGAGAATAATTGAATGCATGTATATGGTTTTTTTTAATAGTGTCTATCAGAGGTGTCACAGTTGCCATTTATGCTTTCATGCCAGTTGTGAACAAGTTGAAATAGAATTCTCAATAACACAGGAATGGAAAGAAGTGCTATGCACAGTGTGTGCGGAGAAAGTGTAGTCCAAAAATCAGGACAGAGGTATGTAAATTTTATTAATGTTTCATGTAGTTTATGACCAGTGTGTATGGAGAAAAAAAACTAAAGATAGCATGACATGTAGGAATGATGGTTTTGACAGGTTTCATTGTAAAATATTTAAGCCCTTTGAGGTCAATTTTGTTAAAATAATAAAAGATATAGAAAAACAAAGAAATATAAAAAGAGACTCCTGCATTCTTGATATCATTTTCATTTAAGACAGGTGTATGATAGAAAATAAGTCACCATTTTTGTTTATAAACATGGTAAAACAAAAACCTGCAATAAATTAATATATGATGTACAATAATATATCAATTATGTTTTATTGCAGTGATACTGAATATGTGGTTTATGTATTAGAAGATAATAAGTTGAAACGTGTGTCAAGTCTTGCAGATGTTGCAGATGTTGCTTCAACATCTACTTCCACCTCTGTGACCTCTCTCTGTCATACCACATGGGATGATAAAAGTATGAAACTGCTCTTAGAGCATTACAGAGAGATGGAAGATTCTAAAAAGCCAGTGAAAAACAAGTGGCAACTTATGAGTGACAAGATGAAGAGGTTTAATTATGACTTTTCATCAGAGCAGTGTAGACTCAAAATCAAGTCATTAAAAGAAAAACAGCTGAGAAACCAAAAACTCAGCGACAAAAGTGGTGAAGGCAATCCTGAAGAAGACACCATTGATGAAAAGCTGGATGAGGTATTTTCAAACCAGCCTGATGTAAATCCTGTACATGTTCTCCAAAGTAAAGAGAAACCTGGTAAAATTGCTTTTAATTATTCAATACTATAAACATATTAAAGAAAAAGAAAATAATATTTGGCCATATAAACTGGAAAACAGAATGTTATCACCTGATTTTCAGCCCTCTTAAAGTACGTAATGGGACAGAATTTGGTGATTGAAATACATACAAAGTAAATTAACAACTCTTACCTTTGGACAAAACAACACAAGTAGTTACGAGGATTTTAAAACAACATATTTTTGGCCTCTAGCGTGTCTGATGAAGATAAATCCAGTAAAGCGCTTTACACGCAGTTAAATTTGGCTTTTGAATATTTATTATAAAAGGTATGTAAGATATGGATCGTGTCTTTTTGGCATATATTTCATATTCTTTCTTTTAAATATATGATAAAAGAATTAGCATATATAAACACGATGTATTACTCCCTAGCTCTAATTGCCTAACAAAGCACTCCACTGGCCCTTAAATATCAAGAACTTGATCAGAATCAAAATTTATGGAAACAATTCATATTGATTACAGTGTACCTGCATCTACTGTGTCACAATATTGAGGTCATACCACAGAATGTGACTGAATTTCTCTGTGTCAAATTAGATTTTGCTGGTATTTTCAAGTGCCTAATAAACTTTTACAACAGTTGTCTTGAAATTATATCAATGCTCTACCAACCAAACCTTTTCATGTTTTTTTGTTTTTAGGTGCTTCAGAAGAAAAAAGAAAAGACAAAGTTGAAGGAGAAAAAAGAAAAAAAACTGAAGATAGTGGAGATAGTGAAGAAGGTACTGTAGTTGTGTGTTTATGTTAGATTTCTTATATTGTGTGTTTATATTAGATTCTAATATTGTGTGTTTATATTAGATTCTAATATTCTATTGGCTAAACATCAGTCAGCTGACATGTAGAAATCCAAAGTAGTAGTAGTAGCCGGTCCAAATTTTTGGTTTGTAAGTGACATCACAAGAGTGATGCCAAAGAAACCATTATCTCTGCTGCTTCATAATGGCATTATAAGAAGTGTTATGATTTATCCATTGGGATTTGAGTTTGAATCTTTTTAATTCAGTGCAGCTATTTATGTAATGTGAACTCCTGAATAGAGTTAATAGCATAGTTTAAAGTAAAATGATGAATTAATCATTGATTCTAATGGCTCTTTAATGCAATAAACACAATCTTTAATGATTTCGCAAAATTTGGACACCCCTCAGGTTGTGATATAGACTGGAAAATTGATATTTCTTCTCGCCTGTTGCTTAGGCAATATAATATTTCCTGGTAAACTTCACCACCCGTGGACGGTCTTCATTTTGTGATATTGTTAAAATATTACCCACTTGAGTGATTGTTGGTAAATTTTCCTCAGTGTTTCTGTATTGTGCTTATGAATTACTGGTATTTATTGTAAACCTGAATGATTTATCATAGTCTACCACTAGTTTGGAGGACTGAAATCTGACAATTTCTTATTAAGATACTATTAATTTACAGCTGGCTCAAAGGGAAAGAAAAAGAAAAGGATGGAAAAAGGAGAAGTTGATGAAAGATTGGACAATCTCCAAAAGACCACAGAAAGGCATCACAAGGAAAAGATGGAAGTGTTTAAAGAATTCACAAGCATTCTGCGAGATCTTGTTCCAAAAAAATGACATGATTTTTCTGTTAACTGTTTTTACATTTAATGCATTTGATTGTCATTTTTAGCTTTTAGTTTTTTTTACAATATTATGTTAAAAGTATTGGCAATGGTATGCTCTAACATGTTAATATTATTTACTGCTAGCCCTATGAGGATCTGTACAAGTATCAAATCATAAATTTCAGGTAGGGGAAGATTAACAAAAGTTTAAAAGCCAATGAATGTATCAAAACCTCTTAGGGGTAGCAGAAACAGCCTGTTTTAATTATATTTTATAGTGTTGAATAAGAGTAACTTGTGCATAGGCAATTGTAACTTTTGTTTTTATTTTCATTATATGTTTTTATACAGTCTGTTTGGGTAGACAGAAAAGTGTGTGGCAGTGGTTGTGTTGAAATTGATTTGTCATTTAAGTGTGCATGTTTTCCCCAGGGTAGCTTCAGAACATAATCAGTTTTGCTGTTGTAGCTTGTCTTTGGTAAAATTCTGATGTACACTAGCCATGAAAATATGTATGTTGTTTATTGATCAAACAGAGAAATCAGTTGTACTGGTTGAATAATTTACACGGAGTGATAGAAAGTTTGTTTCCCCTTATCCTACCAACCCTGAAAAAAGATGCATACCCCAAAATAAATTATTGAGAATTTTCTTTTAAATTTTTTAAACAAAAAAAGAAAACAGTTTTAAAAATGTGTGAAAGAAAACAGTTTTAAAAATGTGTGGACTGTGCACAGTTTCTCTGAAAAAACAACATTTAAATGACTTTTGAAGCACAAATGTTGCAACTTGTATATAAAAATATATAGAGAAATAAATCACATACCTATCTACCCAAGACGAATAATGTGGACACAGGTTAGGGATAATAAGATTTTTTTCCTAATTGTAGCCTAAGCAAAGAGGATATTCAAAGGTATTTAAATGTATTGTCTATATAATTTACAATGATTTTTTAATGTCATAAACTGTATAAAATCTTTCTTTTTCCTTGACAGGGTTTATTTGATTTTTTTTAAATATTTATTTCCAAGAGGAACTTGTTTACATTTGTTACGAATAAAAGTTATTTGTTAAATTATTTCACGTCTTTTATACTAATTCAAACTTTGCAAGCATTCATGAAAAAGAACCGTCAACTGATATCTATGTCAGAACATTTAGGACTTGTCACCTCAAGGTTTTTGACACGGTAGACACCCATATAATTTATTTATTCTTGAAGTGTTCAAAAGTATCATATCCTTGTATAGAAAAATGAATGAAAATGGGGAATGTGCCAAAGAGACATCAACCCAACATGTGAGTTAAATTGCAAATACAGCACAGGATGTCTCGTGAGTGTTCAATGAGCAGTGAGGAATCCTCACACCCAAGAGTAGCCTGCATCTGGCCACATAACAATGATGTAAACTAAACATTAAAGAACATACTCGTGATCATTCAAGTGAAGTTGGTGTTTTGAAAGGATCTGGTTGTCTGTTGTCTTATATTTATGTCAATACAAGTCTGCCCGTCCAAAAAAAACTGGTATCTTTGGACATTTCTTTTGAAACAATTGCAAGATAATCATGACAACCCAAAAGAAAGAATTCAAATAGTTATCTCAAGGACATTACCACCAATTTATATCATGAAAACATTTTCATATACATGTCTGCAGTGCTTGACAGAATAATCATTTCAGAGGCAATAGCAGATTGAGAATTTTCGTTACAAGGAATCTACTTTGTCAAGTGTAGAAGTCCCTATATCCTATAGTACCCTCAAATTGAAGCTTGGACATAAATCTTAACCTTGTCACTGAAACATAAAATATAGGTCAAAGTGACCAACTGTCGTGGCTGCTGACCTACTCTCCAAACCAATTTGCAGGCAAGCGTAGAAGTCCCCACACCTACAGTATCCTTAGACAAGAGCTAGGACATTAACTTTTACCTTGTCACTGAAGCATAAAAACTAGGTCGAAGTCACCTTCTTTTACTTGAATGCTTGATCACAAATATGCATCTGCATGCAAGCTTAGAAGTGTTTATATCTTACAGTATCTTCAGAAGCTTTGACATGAACTTTAACCTGGTCACTGATGCAAAAAATCTAGGTCAAAATGACCTACTTTAGCTTGAATGCTGACCTTCTCAGCGACGCATATTCATGCAAGATTAGAAGACCTACATAATATGGCATATTACCTAGAGGCTCATACGAGCATGTAACCGCTCGCCTGTTGTTCAACTGGTGCACTTACTTCTTTGGAAATGGACTGTTGTTAAGTAATAATAATGAGTACCCACCTCACAAGAAACAGGCTTGCTATATTGATTTTAATTGCTACAGTGGTAGATTTCAAGCAGACATTTTTTACACTTCCAGTAGGACCAATGTTAAGCTAAGTCCCACTGTTGGCCATTTTGGATTGGCACTAAAGTAACAATATTTAATAAGGACCTGAGGAACATCTGTGTTATATTTGATTTCAATCCATTCAGCAGTTCTGAAGAAGGTTTTTTAAAGTATTTTCCATTGGGTCCTATGTTAAACTAAGTACCCCACTGGCAGCCATTTTGAAGGACAGATCAGCACCAAAGTAAGACCGAACACTTGGTCAACATCTTGAAAGTAACGTTTCTGCTATGATCGGTTTCCATCCAATCAGTGGTTCCAAAAAAGAAGATATTGTAATGTATTTCACACAGAGTTCTATGTTAAATTAAGTCCCCCGCTGGTCACCATCTTTTTTTATTGACAGATAGGCACCCAAGTAAAATAAAATAACTAGAATGAACAAAATTTCCCGATCACAACTGATGGCCGTACTACCAGGCAAGCTGCAGCTTGTAGCTAAGATAACCTCCTTCTAGTTTTTACTTTTTTCGCTCTATATTTTTTCCGCAGCTTGCCTGGTAGACAAAAAGACAAAACCGTGGCCAAAATAAAAAAGACAACACAAACGAAGGTTCACAAAACAACACAGAAAACTAAAGATTGAGTGACACGAACCCCACTAAAAATCGGAGTGAACTCATGAACTGCGGTGGAAAAGTTCCCGACTTCTTGTGCGAAAACTTAAGGGACGGACGGACAAGGGTAACCAATATGCCACCACCCAACTTTTAGCTGCGGGGCATACAAAAACAAACAATCAATGTCTTTCTTATTTCCAAACTTGCATGTGTAGTTTTTCCACAGCTTGAAAAAACTAAGGACGAAGGACACAATGACTTGCTGGCATTTACCCTCATCCTAACTTGCATAAAATGAGCTATATAGTCAAGCGGTCACAGATAATAAATGCATTTGTATATCTAAAAAGAGATAGAGGATTTGTAGATATCTTTATTTTAGCAAGATAAAGATTGATAATTTGGTAAACTTGGCCTACACATTACAAATGTTCATGTCTACATTACTTCAAAGAAATCTTAACCTGTTGGCCATATTAAATCTCTTCAAAGCCCCTTCTGCATTTCGCTCCTGTTGCTCAAATAGGGGATTAATAGGTGGCATTAAATCATCGTCCTCTTCCATAACTCTTCCAAATTCTCACCATTTGATATACAAATATTATGAAAAACAACTGCTGTACATACAACATTGCATATTTCTTTAATGTCAATCATATTGATGTGTTTAAGTCTCCTGAAACGGCCCTTTAAAAGTCCAAAACTTCTTTCAATCACTTGTCTCTTTGAAGATAAACTTTTGTTGAATTTTTTCTGTTCGGCGGTCAAATGCCCGTTATCTCAAAATGGAGTAAGTAGCCATCTCCTCAGTGGATAGGCTCCGTCTCCAATTAGATGGAAGCGTCCATACCCTGAAATTCTATCTCCATCTTCCCATACAGTTGAATTTCTTAAAACCTTCGCATCGTGGACATGACCCGGCCATCCAACATTGATGTCTATGATTTCCATATTGTCTTTGCAAACTGCTTGTAGAATCACCGAGTGAAATTTTTTTCTGTTGAAGTAGGCTTGTGGGTTTTCTCTTGGGGCCTCTATCGGTATATGTGTGCCATCTATAGCACCAATTACCCCTGGAAATTGATTTTGACCCATGTCGTTAAACCGTTGAGCGACATTGGGTAATTCATTTTGCGTCGGCCAAGTTATAATCCTTCCCATCATGTTGTTATAGACTGCATCTAAAACTTGTCTTCTATATTTCAAAAGCGTATACTCAGTCACATTAAACTTGTCACTTATTTCCAAGATAGTCTCTTGGGACGCAAGGTAACGCAGAACCCGCAAGACTTTTTTATGGAGTGGGAGTTCTTCTCTACCACCTCTATATACACGTGTACGCATTTCCGGACATGCACCTAGTTGTTGGCACAAAATTTCAAAAGTATTTCGAGATACTCTAAAAAACCTCTGGAAAGTGTCTGGTAGATAGCGGGGTATTGTTACTTCAAAATAACCTTGAGTTTTCACTCTCTCCTTTCGAGCACTCTCCCTGAAATTAAAACAATACTATATTAAGGTCTATTTACATTGAAATTATACAAGCCTTATAATCAAATAACTGATTTGACACATTAAGGTGACACATATTATTGCTCTAGTTTTAAATGGTCTATCTCATCAAATCTTTTATTCAAAACTTGCCTTGTTGGTTAAAGCATGACATATACCATAAGGGAGTATTAATGTATAAATCACTGGTATAAATGTACCAATTAATTGATTTTACAAATTATTTACATAAACAGTTTATAAAATGTTCGGAATCAACGGATTACTCTTCACGATCAGCTAAAACTGGCAAATTTCGACGCCCGAAAACAGATTTCAGTACTCGGTGTCGTTTTATGGAATAATATTCCACACGAAATAAAATATGCCCAGAACATAGATGCATTCAAGAGAAAATATTCTGCTTATACCTATTTCAGCAACAATACAACAATTAGTGTTCAATAATGATCTTGTGTTGGTGTACAAAATGCATATGCTTTCTAATTTGATTTTTAAGTTTTTTATCTTTTGATTGCAAGTTACATTTGTATTTGTATACAACTGAGGTTGTGAGTTCGAATCTCACCTGCGGCGGTGTGTGTTCGACTCCGATCTTAATTGACAAGGATTGCCAATTTTCCTACCGAAGGTCGGTGGTTCTCTCCGGGTATTCCGGCTTCCTCCACCAATAAAAACGGACCGCCGCGAAATAGCCAAAATGCGCTGAAAACGGCATAAAACCAAACTAAACAAACTAACATTTGTATTTATATACTGTTCTAGAATTGCCGAGGGCCTCAGGGAAGATGATTAGTATTTGTAACGTATTGTAGTCACCCTTTATAAATAAAGTATGTATTGTTATTATTATTATTATTATTATCCTGCTGTTAATTGTTAATAATTGAGCAATGTAAATGCTTTGTCGCTCTTAAGAACGTTTTTGTTACAGTTTTGAACGTTTAATAAAAATCTCACAATTCAGTCTGTAAAAGATATAATTGCAATTTTTCTTCTTCGTCGTCCTCAAACAGCTGGAATAGGCCATAACCTATTATAGCTGGTAGTAATGGTCCTTGGGCAGCCATGTTAGATTTGCCGGTATATAAGCCGTTTCACTTGTTTCTCGCACGAATAGGCGTACGCCGGCCACATAACCGGCGCATGACCGGCTTACTAGAAACAAGTGCGCCCTAAGATTTGACGCTCGATCTATTCAATTCAATTTTATGGAAAAACGAGCAGAAATGCATATGATTTTTTTTTTACCTCTTGATAGATATATGTCTATGGTTTCAGGAAAGGTATCACTGTAATTGATTGAAATTTTCCTTTGGACCAAATTTTGGAGACTTTTGTGACATGTTCACCCCCCTTTTTTGCAATATTTTGTATCAAATAAATGCAGATTGTTGCCATGGTTACACCAAAAAGAGATTATTTTTCACCATTATAACCATTAGAAATCAAATCTATGGAAGATTCTCTTTCTATAAATATACACATGCATAACACAAATATTAAGCCTTATTTGTTAGAAAGGAAGGGAAAGAGGGTGTTTAAAAATAATGAGTGTCAATTTCAAGTTTTTATTCTAACTGTGTATTGCTACCTTAAGGTGTAAGAGCAAAGACTTCGGAATCAGAATAATGGGTCCGGGTAAGGTGACATGGTTCCTGTGGACTGTTCCCTTGTGAACTAGCACGTTAAAAATCCGGCTCAGCGTGTCGGTCTAGAAAAAGCAGAGTAAACAGTCATATAACATTAAAATGTTCTCGTCTTTAATATGCATATTAATTTGCCGCTGGACGTTAAGCATCCATCCATCATCATCTAGTTGAAGCTGTAAAATAAATGCACGATAATGTAACAAAAATCTGCACGCAAATGTAATGCACCGAGTTGAAGTTCATCCCATATCTCTTTTTATCAATACCGGGTGGCCGAGTGGTCTAAGTAGTCATGCTTCTGTATCACTAGCCTTTCAAAACTAATAGGTTGTGAGTACGAATCCTGCACGAGACAGTTAAGCTCGACTCAAATCTTAATTGACTAGAATTGTTAATTTTTTTAAAGAAGGTCGGCGGTTCTCTCCTGGCACTACGGCTTCCTACACCAATATAAACTGACCGCCACGAAATAGCACGATAGTGTTGAAAGTTGATTTAATCACCAATCAATCAATCAATCAATCAATTACTGTAAATCAACTAATATTCGAGACGATTTATTTTTGCATTATTTTTCCACTCGCGAAAGTCGCGAAAATAAGTCGCTCGCCAAAATTAGTTGGTTTACAGTAATCAATCAATTAATCAATCAATCATCCATAGCGGTACATAATAATGCAGGAGATAATTTTATAGCTATTTTTATGAAATACTTTTAAAAATGACTGTGATTTCTTTCGTGTCTTTTGCAATAAAGTGGTTTTTTCATATTTTCGCCGCAGCAGGGAAATTCTTCCACTAGCTCCTGTATTAATTGATCTAAATCTTCCTCCGAAATGTTTGAAACGTTGATTTTTTGTTAAATTTCACTATCCCATTTTTTCAAATAAAATGCACTTTCGGAATCTGATACGAGACTGGAGCTGCTAGATCAGAAACAGTAAACTGGTATTCAAAAACAAAATAGAGAATATCCTCTCGTAGATCAAATTTTTGAACTCCAAGTGTTCAATTTAATAACTTTAACCGTATGTTCATTATTGTAGACCCATCGACTAAACCTAAACTTTGCAATTCATATTTTGACAATTTTCCAAAAAATATATAAGATTTGATTTTTTCATCTTTAAAACGAGGTACCAACGTGCCAATGTTTATCTCTTTTAAAATCTCAACCATTTTCCAAACGAATCAACTCTGTCAGGAGTCAATTGGGGCAGGCTGCAAGCAAAATTTCTGCACGTCTTTCAAACTCTCTTTTTCAAATTGCAGTCGAAATTCGTGGTCACATTCTCGTCGAGCCACTTTGTATAACCTATCTATTGGATAATTGATGTTCTGAATATGCATGAAATATTTGTCACTGGGTGTTAGGCATACAACTATCAATAAAACCTTAAATGTTAAATTTTAAAACTCTGTTGCAATGTCGGGTTACAGCTATTCTATTAACCGTCCACTCCCAATCTGCATCGTAGTCTTCGAACCGCGCAGTTGCTTTTATTGTTAAGCCCCAAATCGTTTGCCTCACTAGAAAAAAAGTCAAGATACGCCACTTACCAATCTTCTCTTGGACTGTTTTCTGGTGACTGCTAAACCAAAACTTGTGTCAACCTATTTTTGAACTTGCGGAGTTCATTATCTATATATATGTAGAATATCAAATATTATCGCCCTAACTGACACATTCGATATTCGATATTCAATATCCAACCTACTGCTAGCAGTCGGTTCGATATTCAAATTTAGTTGAAAATCATAAAAAAAATAATATTTGATAACATTAAAAGCATGATTTTTATAGTTGAAAGGAGTAAAAAGATACGTAGGAAATCGTTTTATGACCCCTTCAAGTTGTCTTAAACTCTCGTTGTCCTCAAATATAAACCCTTATCAATGCTTATGTAATTTGCATATTTTGTCTTTATGTAATATAGATTTTTATCAATAAAACGACATCAAAACTGTAATTTTATATCTAATATTTCTTAAAACAAAAACAATAAAATGCTCCGCTGGGCGCAGCTTGATACGACCGCAGAGGTCGAACCATGAACAGTTGGGGCAAGTATGGACACAACATTCAAGCTTGATACAGCTCTGAATTTGGATAGTGATTAAATATTTTACACAGCATAGGTTTCTGACACAGAAAGAATGTGGTCTAAGAACTTAAAATTTTTCATATACCTATTATGGTCCAATATCCAAAATCAAAATACGTGGTTAGATTCAGCATATCAAAGAACCCCATATATTCATTTTTTGTTGAAATCAAACAAAGTTTAATTTTGGACCCCAACTTGGACCAACTTGAAAACTGGGCCCATAATCAAAAATCTAAACACATGTTTAGATTCAGCATATCAAACAACCCCAAGAATTCAATTTTTGTTAAAATCAAACTAAAGTTTAATTTTGGACCCTTTGGACCTTAATGTAGACCAATTTAAAAAACGGGACCCAAAATTAAAAATCTAAATACACGGTTAGATTTGGCATATCAAAAAACCCTAATAATTCATTTTTTTATGAAATCAAACAAAGTTTAATTTTGGACCCTTTTGACTTCAATATGAACCAATTTGATAGCGGGGCCCACAAATAAAAAATCTAAATACATGGTTAGATTCAGCATATCAAAGAACCCCATATATTCAATTTTTGTTGAAATCAAACAACGTTTAATTTTGGATCCCAATTTAGACCAACTTGAAAACTGGGCCCCAAAATCAAAAATCTAAATACATGTTTAGATTCAGCATGTCAAAGAACCCCATATATTCAATTTTTGTTAAAATCAAACAAAGTTTAATTTTGGACCCTTTGGACCTTAATGTAGACCAATTTGAAAACTGGACCCAAAATTAAAATCTAAATACACGGTTAGATTCGGTATAACAAATAAATAAATGTGGTCAAAGATTTACAAATCTAATGCGCCACACTGTGCAATTAAAGATTACTTCTTGAAATTTTTCAATATTTGAAATTTGAAAAAAAAATAATATTTGAAGAATAATTCTTTTAAATTTCTGAAATCTGAAAGGAGAAAAAATTTACCCCCCCCCCCACAATTTCTTTTTACCCCCCCCCCCCCCCTAAAAATTCTTTCCCTCAAGATATGGTCATAATCTCAATTCAAATTTCCAATGGCGTTTGCAACCATAATTAACCATTTAAATTTACCATAGTGCTAACTTAATCTATTTTATAATAGAATTTAAAATATGGTGTCAAATCTTTCATATGGATTTTTTTGTAAAAAAAAAAAGATGCAACATTTGCAGATATTTTTACTGGTCTTCCTTTATAAATATGCATTTCTTTAAACATAATTTAATAACAGTGTAAGGGAAGTAACCAAAACGTTGTATTTGAATTATCTCACTTACACTGTTTTAAATTATCTTAATTGTTCATTAACCATTACTTTATACATAATTTAAAAGCAGTGTAAGGGAGGTAATTCAAATGATGTATTTGATTTATCTCCCTTACACTGCTTTAAATTATGTTTTGTACTAAAGTATTTGGCCATTAACCAGGACAACCTTGTTTTCCCCCTTTTTTGCCCCTAAAAATTTCAAAGAGATTCATTCACATAAACTAAAGTTAGAGTGCTAAAACCAATGTGTCTTCAGACGACGACGACGACGACGACGACGACGACGCCAACGTCATACCAATATACGACCGCAAAATTTTTTTGCGGTCGTATAAAAACCGATCACTCTAGAAAAAATTTAAAAATATAAATAGAAATATATATGGAAAGCCCCAAAAAAAGAAACACATAGTTAAAACCTACCTGAGACCGCTTAAATGACGGTGAGACCCCCTGTTCTTTCAATGTCCATAAAATTCGACGAATTCATAGACTCTGTATAAATAAAAGATTGTATCAAAAGGATTTCCCAGAATAATGTCATCTTCGATATCTACGGAGGGCTTAAATTGTCACTTTTCAGCTAAAAATTGTCAAAATTTTAGGACAAAGGGCACAGGGCAATAATGAGAGCCCCCTGATCTCTCAATCTGCCTATAATTATGCAGACAGTTAGTTGATGGACATTGAAAGACCAGGGGGGGTCTCACCCTCATTTAAGCGGTCTCAGGTAGGTTTTCACTATATATTTTGAATATCCAACTGGCAATTTGGGCCCTCCGTAAACATGGAAGACAGGAAGTGTACCCAAATTCCTTTTCGTCACGTTTGTATCTACCTATTAACTAAATGTTTGCATAATATTAGAAAGATTGAGAGACCAGGGGGCTCTCACCTTTGCCCTGTGCCCTTTGTCCTAAAATTTAAGCGGTCTCCGGTAGGTTTTCACTATATATTTCTTTTTTGGGCTTTCCATAAATATTTCTATTTATATTTCTAAATGTTTCTAGAGTTATAGGTTTTTCCTTTTGTGTTAA